TCCTCTCAGTTTAATAGATAGTATTCGTATTAGGTTTCATAAACGTATAGGTGAAAGTTTTGCTATCGAAACACGTTGACATTAAACGTCACAGCTTTAGGTACTACTGATCACCACGTCAACCTTTTACTGGAAGTTAGAGTAACTTATACCTAGACGAACGTATAGACCTCACATTTCGAATTCGAATTCGGCGTTTCTATCTGGAAGTGAGTGGTGAATCCTTAAGCAATAGACGTGGCAAGCTCGCGGCTGTGTCAGTAGCTTTGTCTAAAGAGGAATCGTGCTATCACGACCGACACCGAACTCGTCGCCGTAGCTATTGCTGACAGACCCATTTCTCAACTAACAGCTGCCACCAGCTTTATTTTTTCTGCTGCTACGACTGGTCCGTTCGTCCGTCTACACATCAGAGTATACAAGTCTTTCTGTCTTTTGCACTTCCCCGATACGTACACGCTCGAACCTTGCTACCCTAGAGGCGACTTATAGGGTTGATCCGGGGGTCATCGTTGTTATTGTTGTCTCCGCGATCATTCCGTATGACACAGTCCCGATTTGCCACATAATGGTGTCATTTCAATGTCAGTTGTGTCACGGCCTTACGACACTGCGTTTTCGTAACAGAGCACCATACAGCGGAGTGCATGCAGGCCCTAGGACCCACCAAAGTAGACAAAACCTTTACTCACTGTAACGCTGACTATGACGATTGCTGTGGCTGCTGCAGATGGCGACCAGTAAGCCAAGTCCGCCGAAGGCTTATGTCGGTCAGATGTCTATCAAACGACAGGCAGATGACGAGGACGATCAGCAGAGGAGGCATGACAGGAAAAACAAACCACACTGTTTCATTCGGAAACGGAGAGCGGGGAGGAATTGGGAAACTAAATAATATTCGATTTCGATTTGTAAGCATCATTCTTTTGACATGGTCGTGCTCCTTGTTTTTCATTCAATCAACATCAGATCACCGTTCTCCTTCGCCGAGTTCAAACTTTTTCCGTGAAGGCTGCGCAGTAATGACGTTATCGTGCAAAAATAGTTCTTAGACATTTAGAAAAAGCTTCGCAAAAACAATGTTTCGAAACATTTTCAACTGTTCGATATACTTGGCCATGAAAACAACAGTGTCCCTTTGCTTATAGCCCTTTGACCACCCCGGATATCGGCAAGCGCATTCAAAGAGTTCAAGCAAATTCCCTACAAATGCTAGCTAAATTTCAATCTTCTGGAATCGTTTATAGAGCATTCGCGCCACAACTGTGCAACGAATCGTCAACGATTGACACGATGCTTTAATGCTCGTTTATGTCGTTGGGTAGCGTCGATGAAGAAGAAGGCACGGCGAAACCAGCGAAAAGTAATAGTCAAAATGTAGCCTTATATTGACAAATGCTAAGCGTAGCTAATACCGCATATATTTATATACCGCAGATATTACGTCAAAACAACGGTTTGTCCTTATGCTCTGTCGCCTGTTTTTCCTTCCATTGTTGATATATCTGATGTGTGAGATATCTGCGAGGGCACTTTGTCCCATGTAAGCCCATTTCGCTATGCAGTAGACGAAATTCTCTATTGAGTTCAGCAGAATACTCATTACCAAACTCGGGTCAAACACTGGCTTTTGTAGTTAAATACAAATACAACATTTATGTATGTTTCAGTTCTATACTATTAGCTACAAAATGGCCAACGCTATATGATGAAGGCGTACACATCTTCCACATACTATTACCAGTAGAGGCGAACGATGGAAATCTAAATATAGCTATTCTTTATCTTCTCGAGCCGAAAATGTTTGCTGCGATTCACTTGAAGAAAACGAATCTGCGCGGAGAAATTAATAGGAATTCTTATATATCTTCTCTTTTAGAAGAGCTTGTTTTTCTTCACGATGTTGCGGGTTTCGGAGTTTATGTTTCTTGTTCGCATATTCATTTTTTTGGTAGGGACAACCAAGCCTTAAACTGGTTTGCAATTAAACTAGAGAACGATCTTGCCTGATCGGTAATATCGATCGTACAAAGAACACCTACGCGATATTTTTCCTTTTTTCACCAACCCTAACCAGTGAGTAACAGTAACTATCTGCTATCACAGGCAAAGATTTTTTCAGCCGTTTCATATACTAGTTCTCATCCTTTCACTTCAATATGTGGCTTCGGAGTATCACCTTTTCTTCGGACGAGGCCTTGCGTGACCTCGTTAAGCGCGACGCACTTTGTCGGAGCGCTGCCGCGCTATCTTTGTCCTGCTCGTGGCCTATGCCCTCGACACACAGGATCCGACCTATCTACATTTTACTCTATGTTGCTTACTTAACAAAAAAGAAAAAAGCAGTTACAAGTAAATACTTCACAGTGAGGTCAGCCACTGAGTATTGGTCTTGGAGGAGTGGGCAAATACGCTGTTCTGCCCCCATTGAGTACTAATGAAGACTTCGAGGGTAATGGAAGCTGATGCAAGAACGGTCGATAATTTCAACATAACAGGCTCTAAGAGAATCGACCTTCTATCTGATGTGAATATTAATAAAGTAATGACGTGAGAGTTCAGACTAAAAGCCATAACTAGGGTAACAAACAACGAGATTCATCCGCGCTGTCAACCGTATTCTACGCTTTTTTTTGGCATTTACTCTGGTTTAATACAACGAGAGTTGTTTGGAACGAGTCGGCGACGTTGTTTTTTCTTATAATGTATTTCCGGATGTCGCTAATGTTCCACAGCGCAACTGATAATAACATTTGATCATTAAGAGATAATCTATAGAAGAATAGGCACTTCTTTTCGATAAGTTCACAGGTAGACAAACTGTTACGGTCTCAGTGTGCCATTTGTAAACTGATAACGATGCGACAGAGGCTGTATTCACTATGTGGTAATTCAACTGTATAGCATACATGCGATTAGAACCCTTCGAAGTCCACACGATAATGGGATCTCTCGGTGTTAGCGTATTAAAAGAGCTATCTACTCTGTATTAGCTATTATAGACCCATTTGAGGTCGTACAAACGAGCTCTGATAAGCAATTGTCCTATTCTCATTATCTAAATTTTCCGTTTTACAATGCCATTTAAACAATTTTGCGCTAGGTAAGAAAAACCAATTTCTTTCGCTTGACAAAACATGTCGCAATGACAAACTTCAAACAGGTTCAACTCAATTGATTTACCTTTATTATCCAACTATACGTACCGCAGAGGTGTTCTCTTAGCGGCGAAATGTCGCTATTTTTCTTTGAGGCCTCGTCTCCATACTCTATCACCATGAATGATTCAAAGTATGGTTACTTAAACTTCACAGTATCCTTTTTTATCCTGCACTATGCACTAAATAGCCAGTATCTGTAAAAATAGCCCAACAATAATAATAATAATTTCTATTTGTCGGCCCTTTTAAGTGTAATTCATCTACTTGTGTATAATTCTCTAGACCACCTACATCACCATGCTTTATATGCAACTTTTCCTAGTTGCTGTTTCCGTATATTTCTTTTATGTTCTCTTTCTGATTGATTTATATACTTATATGTACCTCCACGAACGAAACATTTGTGGTAGTAACTATTTGGTCTCACAGCTTTCGGAGTCATCTTACTACGGGACTTGAATTACCTGTTTTCGGTTGTCGGACAAAAGACCGGCTGTTCAAACCATTGCCCTTAAGAGTAAACAAAAAATATATTCCAGAATCAGGACCATTTACCGGCGTTATTTTAAAGGCCCAGTTTAGAGTATCCACCGTGGATGTAAGCTGAGTATGAAAGCAAGCTTATCTATGCATTTGTCTAATAGAGAGCATCCTATTCATTACAAGCTGCAGAAGCAAATTGAGGATTAATTGAGAATATAACTCTAAACTTCACATATACACTAGTCAAAACATAACCATGATTGTGTTTTGTTCGCCTAGAGCTTAGGTTTCAACGATGCCGCAAGGGTCACGTCACGAGGGGATCTACTCGCTTGCAATTTATTATCTCATCGGACGAGGGGTCAACGAAGGGCCAAGTGGCACAGCTATATAATAATAATATGACAACGTTTTTGGGGGGGGGGGGGGGGTAGCATCGCAAGCCCTGATTAATTCAGTAACACCTCAGAGATCTGCTGTCGTATATGTGTAGATATATATATATATATATATATATATATATATATACATGAGAATCAAATAAAGCGCGTCTGAAAAATCTATAGTGACCTATAATTATGTTCACTGCTATTATTTGGCTTGTACTGCGCATTTGATGCAGCATACCGTAAAAATTCAGCAAAATTTAACCCATTCCACTTCTTACTCCTGTGTAATCAACGCAAGCTTCGATGGGCGAGACTTGACTTCGTTATGCCAACATTATCAGAACGTTCACTTCTCGAACGTTTTTCTCCCGTCTGTATAAAATCAGTGAGAGATTTCGGCTCAATGTATATTAAAAGCTTTGTGTTCAATTAAAAACATGGCTTCACCTAAACAAACAAGAAGAAAAACATTATGATCCACCTATTCAATACGCCTGTCGTCAGTCGGTTCTCGTTGTTAACTACAGGAATTGGTAAGAAAAAGCAAATAGAATTAATCGTAGGTTACTTATATCTACGATGAAAAAGTATGTAATATTTTACCTAAGTATCCTACTACTGACTTCTCCTATGTATTCTTCTATGTACACGGCAAGCGTTAGTGAAGTCCTGGTAGGAGCAGCAATTTGAGAAAGATTTCGACGGAGTCCCTATGATATTATTGCTAAACCACACAGTGTTTCTGTCATAAAAAGCAATTTATTAACAATTCGTAGATTGTCAGTGGCTCTTACCAAGCTAACACTTTTGAGTGATGTTACAATATTTAAACATAAGTTTGGTTTAATTACATATATCTATCAGACAAATTAACTAAGTTGTTATACTTAGAAAAACGTTCCTTGACAACATGGACATAATCACCCTATTTACAGTACAGAGATACATGTCCAGATGTAGCACTTACCACAAGAGAGTCAGCAACACACAGATAACGACTTGTTGTCTATAACGGCACATGTTATTCACGTATTCCTCGAGCTCGTCACCCGATCAGCTGAATTTAGTATGTCTTATTCTTACCCAGCTTAATTTTGGTTAGGCGGTTTTGATAATAATCTTATTTGGATGGCAGCTTCGATACAATTACAGTTGACTCCAATACTGCCGTCTGCTCATAATTCGGACAGTGTCAACTACAAATTATGGTAACCTTATTTCTGCCAGGTCAGATGTATGGCCTGGTCGTCAGTCGCTCAAATCTTCAGCGTCAGATTCATGATAAACTTAGATGAGTCACTGCACATGAAGCCGAAACTTCGTGGAACACACGTGGCCGCCAGATACAATTTCGACTGAAAAATGCAATACTGAGAGTCCTGTTGGTCTTTTAGTGTCCGAATATATTTCAAGCCCTTCGCAAATAAAGCAAGCTGGGCCGTCAAGTTTTACTAACATAGAGGTATTTCTATAACGTTCTGTTTTTTGAGTAGAATCATATATGATGAGACACCAGACGGTGGCTCTCTCCAATACATTCTCATATCAGGTTCGGGACTTTTTCCTTTCGCCAGAGGAAGATGAAAGCAGTGTAACATCCAGAAATCCTAACGTTGCAGGTCGAGGGAGAAGTTTCCATCGACAGCGGTCTGGATGGCCCAAAACCTCATGTGCTCGAGGCCTCGTGGCCCTGTTTGGCCGTAAACTCCACCCCCTAGGCGAGAGAAAAGGGAAAGGGCTCGTGCCGGCTGAGCCATTCATCGCACCCGACGGCCATGCGCGGACCGGAGTTAATGCGAGTCCTGTAAGCCAGGCGTAATTTTAGTGTCGATGAAAAAGATTCGTCTTTACGAGATACTGGCTTTCCGTTTAGCCTCATTCTAACTATCACTAGCGCATCTTATGGCTAATCGTACTATCATTTCTCGGTGTACTGCTTCCATCAAAACAGGGATCTGAAGTGTCTCTTAAGAACATTTTTCCTAACTGCAGCAAATATTTATTAAGTCTGATCTGTTCAATTATTGAGACAGCATCCTTCGGTCGAGGTGTATTGTGTTCAGCTGATCGAACACCTAACAACAGTACCGGACGTAGAACGCTAGACATTTGGCATTGTGACCAAGTACCGTCTGGGCTTGAGTGTTAGTCACAATCCAGTTCAATAAATTGTCGAACTATAAAAAACGAGTTTCAGTTTAGACATCGAATTGTCGGTGGCTAACATGCCCGTAAGGTGTGAAGCTGTCACGATTTGCAGTTAAGCACGGTGCCTGCTACCAATGTTGACTCGAAGATAAGACGCAGCCTAACAATAGCGTGCGCCATACGCAAAAGGTTCCTCCATCCGCGATTAATTTCACGCTGTCATTTACTCGTCCTTACATAATCAACATTTTGTCCGAATAAGTAACGACAGACCCATTTAAATCGACAGCTTTTCAGAGTGCAATGCCTTTAGAAAGGCGATAGCTATATGTGTATGCCTTCTGAAACATAAGAAGATTAGAAGGCCATTTATGGTGCCCAGAAAGAGCTGGCCAAAGAATGCTGCGAGATTATTAGTGAGTGAGGGAGCCTGAATCACTCACTGAATAGTAGTAAACTCCGATTTTTGACATGTTAAAGCCCAAAAAGATAGGAGACCTTGCAGGATCTGAACATTAGGAGATCCGGTTTCGTAATGCTGACCCGTCTTAGATGAAATCTCAGTATCTGTTTTAAGGCTTCTTCCAGTAAAGCTATCCCGAGTCAACTAGAGGACGTAATTGTTGTTCAACCATCTTTATGAAGATGTCTGATTTACCTACATGAGCACTTTTACCAAGCTGAAAACGTGGAGAATGTCAAATGACATGAAATCTTTGGTCCCACCAACAGTACGGCCTAGTACATGCCGTTGAAGTGTTCAAGTTGAACCTGTTTCCTAACCAGAGTCTTGTTAGGCCCCATTACTTGTTTATACTATAGCAATCCTGTAAACTGTAAAATTGCGTTTTTTCGCATCTTGTTTAGGGTTTAACGCAAGTGTCTACTACAAGTGTAGGTGCGGTTTCCAAAGGTTTGCATCAAGTGGGGTCTCACATATTACGTAAACAGAAAATTTGAAAGTAGTATTTGGAGTAAGATGTGTCAACTTGCAGCTATTCGCGATTTAAGATTTAGCCTCATATTCCATAGTAAACGTGTTATCTCGTTTGTAACAGAGTTGAATTTAAATCTGCTGAGAGATGATAAATTCAGAAAGCCTTTAAAATTTAGATCATCATAATGACATGAATATTACATCAGCTGAATAGGATAAAGCTGAAGACACAACCTGATTGTCATCTTCCGAACCGGAAAAAAACCATGCGAGTTCTCAGTGACATTTTTCTGTAGAGTATGTCTCTTGTAGTATTGATTTTGCAAACCCTAATCATTGAAGTGCTTCTTAGTGCCAACATGTACGCTATTCTTCAAAGCGATTCTTCAACACTGCATATATGACTTCCATAATGCATAAGCAAAAACAAATCTCCTGGCTGTATACAGAACTAGACCCATTTGATAAAAAACAAAAACCGGAAATAACGACTTATACTAATCAGTATCTTGAATCAAGATTGGAGATATAAATGTGTGTATGTTCTATTCAGAGCTGACTGTGGCTGGTTTAAACAGTTGATAGTAAATGGAGTACGTGCCTTCTCATAATTAAGTTAGAGAAAAAGTGCCCGTGAAAAGCATTGCAAGCCTTTGCTATGCTCTTCACGGGACCGACTTTTTGTTTAAATACTTGGATATGTGTATATATACTATGAACATTTATATTGGAATATTTTCGTTGCTCACCAATTAAGAGCTCAAGTAAGGGCAATAAGATAAGATTAATTCTGTCAACTAGCGCATTCGTACGAAAATTCGATAGATTCTTTACTAGGCTTTATTTTAGCCATACATATCGTACAGTTGGTGGTGCGCGGCTGACGTAAATTTGAAAACATAACTGCATTATAGTGTGGTTCTATCTGTAAAAAAGACTATCCGTAAATAAAAAAGAAAAGACAATATTTCAAAGGTAATTCAAGGTGGGACACGCAGTAAACGTATAAGGCCAATTATTAGAGATAAGGAGCAGGTGGGCTAAGTATACATTACGATAGGCAGTGAATAGCAATGAACCGATAGCACAGACTATTCACATAATTAGCAATAAACTCCTATAATGGACACTAATAAAAATTGAGATAAACAGGAAGGAAAAACTGAAGTAGCACCTGTGGACTTAAAGTAATCATTTGCTAACTTTCTTACGGTACCTTATAGATAGCGTGCCTTTTATGAAAGCAATTAAACAATGTTTTTAAGTTTTGCTGTAGGTATCATTTTGAAGGAAACTTTTACTCATGATTGTTTTTCTACTAATCGTTGGTCTCTTGTTAAATTGAATGTACTCTCTAATAGCGCATTAGTAAGCTAGACTGCATTTAGGTCAATACTGATAAAACTTTAAAAATAAATAACTTGGAGATTATTCGACGTTAGTTCCGTTATGCTGGATCAAGCGGAACGTCAATTGTCCATAAAAAAAAGCTGAATATGAATCGGGCGCTCTCATTGTTTCAATTGTTGGGTGTAACTTTAGGAGCTGTTAGATCATATAATACGATCTGTCTGTTTCTCTGTTCACGTTTCCCGCATGGTTTATGTTACAGCGACGTCTTGTTTTCTTAGTAAGATATTTTGCAATGCAAAAGTAAGTAGTACTGTTATTTCTTCTGCTGATTCAAAAATGGCGCCCAAAAAAGGTTAGCAAAATTCTAAGCACAGAAACATCTGAACAAACATCGTTCTGCAATTCAGTAAACTGGCTGTTATCATGGCGGAAAACCAACGCTGCTCACCTTCGCTAAGGAGCTCTGTGCCGTATAGCAATTAAGAAAACGATCCGATTAATTAGACTTCGGCAGAATTCCATTTTGCTACTTCTTATATAATTCAATTAGCGTAATTAGCAGTGGTGACACGAAAACGCAATGATCGTCTTCGACTACCGTCAAACTACGTCGAGCTATGGATCACTTCATTATCCGCTGACAATATTACCTAGGCCATTCCCGACTAATAGTACATTTCGCCTCTTATATACGGTCATCCACGGAGAGCCTACTGAGATATATAATCTTTGGCGGTAACAAAAATAGCGCTCATTCCTACACCTAATTTGCGATAGAATTACCCATAAAAGTGTCAGAAACTCTTTCAAGTTTCAGAAACAGAAACAATCTAACTGATTGATTTTGCTTAGTTTTACAGCCTACAAAAAAATATAGTCTTTCTTTTTAGGAATCGTGCAGAGCTGTTACATTTCTCTGACAATAGCATTTGAAAGAAAATGAAGGTAGAAGCAACTAGTATGTAACCTACTGCAATGAGATTTTCTTTTCCCGTAACCTATAGGCAAAATCAAAGCACCCTCTACAACGATGAAGTCTTAGCAAATACGGCTACAAGGCTACCCGATGTCCCCGTTGAAAGATGTCGACCACTTTTTCAAACTTACTAAGAAACGGCACGAAAATCTCCTGATTTTTTTTTACCTACTTGATTGTATAGAGTGATATAGGTTTTTACGAAATTTTTGAAATAAATTAAGTCCAAAAATAAATATCAATCCAATTGACGATGTAGTTTCTCCATCAAAATATTGAGCGCAGACTAGTTTATATACTTTTGTGACCTGTAGCATAATCTAGTATCAAGCACTCAATTCTATTAATCGGATTCTACAGTAAATACATTTTCATCATATAAATTGGTTGATAGGGGATTATTAGCTTGAGTAAAGCATATATCGATGTTTGTCCTTAAAAGACGTAAGGATATATACCTTAGATTACTGAGCTTTGACAAACATCTTTATTAACGAAGCAGAGGCATAGAATCGATTGATGCATACTTTTTTTACAAACTGCGAAGGAGTGCGAAACTGACTTCGATAGCAGTTTTCGAATAAAAAGTGCAGCATCGATCTGCCTTTGCCTCATAAAAGTGACGTATTCTATAATACGTCTATACGTTCTATAATACGACGGACTTGAAAAATCGATAGTAATCTATGCGATAGAATAAGTTTCGTCTCAAAAAGCCAGAGCACAATCATGGCGTTCCCTACGCGGTCAAAAAGCCAAATTTCGTCCTACTCTCTTGCAAAATTGAATTAGGCTCGTGCCTTTAGCGCCAAGTTCAAACGACTTCTTCAGTTATTCCAGCAAATTGTTTCGGTTGAAAGTAATTTTGCGCTTATGTTTCAACAAAGTACATTTTTATTATCTGGTCAGGTGCGTCTCGTAGCTCATGAATGATCTCCTGATTGTAATAATTCAGCGCCTTCGTTCCTCTCGCTTTTTTCCAGTCTTTCTAGAGTTACAATAATTCAGAACTGATTATGCTACGTTTTACTCAATTATTTTTATTGGATTAACCCCCATCGTACCGTCCAGGCCTCGCAAGCTTCAGCGCGCCTCTGCCGAATGGAAAAAGTTTACCAAACACAATATGTTCATCGTGTTTACCCTTTTCCTCAACAAGTAGCAATGACAAAACGCTGACAACTCTATTTGACTATCGGTAGTGATAACAATATGGATTTCTGTACGTTGACTGACCCACAATGTTTTTTGTACGGCCTGTCGCGTCCATTTACAATGCTCGATTGGGTCGTCATTCAAGGTAACCTGCTGTTCTCTTAAACATTTTACCCAGACAATCCATGTCTATCCTTTACACCGGTTATTCTTCCATAACTAAGAAACCAAAAACCCATGTGTTCGACGGATCCCGGCTATTTTTTCACTCTAAGATCACTTCGCACTCTAACGAGATCGGAATGCCCGTTTAATGGCAAGGCTATAGCCTTGGCTGCGGGTGGAGAGGTACCGTATTGGTACACGACATTCTGATGACCCAACCTCCTAACAAGAACCCCACTTTGCGCCTCCTGCGGCCACACAAGATGGCTTTCGCTGTATCGGGTGAGCAAAACTCTGCTTGAGGTGAAAAGAGTCGTCGTATTTTAAGCGCTTATCTGCTACTGCTGTTGGTAAATGAACCAGCTGCAGAGCAGAGCTGGTGGGCCATCTGGTGCATAGCGACGTAAGGAACCCGGCCGTCAATAGAGACAAAAATGTGAGTACAAAAAACGCTATGAAAAAATATGGATGGTGGAAGTCGACGAATGGCGAGTCAAACTATTGCATAGTAAAAATTTTGCACTGTTCGTTGTTAGGTTAGACATGTTGCTATAATATCAATCTATTAAATATGTACTGTATCACGAATTAATTTAGGAATATCTAAGCAATAGGTATTTTTTTTTTTGAAAAAGCTTAAAAACGAAATCAGCTTGGGAAATGCATCCATTACATTATTGAGCGATGGCTAATTACTCAGAGAAGTGCCAAAATTTCTTGTAAAAAGAAGATTAACTAATATATTGTGAGAAATTAATTTGTAAAAAGCGCTTTACGTAGATTTCTGGCATACATTTACGAAGACACTTCCTACATCCTCTCAAGATTCATAAGTTTTCCGAAGTCTGTTTTCGTAAAACCTTAGACTTGCAGTGTTCTCTCGATCCTAATGAGTCTTCGCAAAACGAGAAAATACGTTTACTAACTTGGCTGTATAACGTCAGAACGCATTTGAGCTCACCAAAATAATAATGTTAGCGCATATCCGGATCACAATATTTATGATAGGATCTTGATCGATTCGAACAAAGTAGAAATAATTGTAATTGATTTCAATCTATTTGCTCGCAGATGTATGCAGCAGGCAATATTTCAACTCATTCGTTAATCCGAGGCTGAAAGCGTGGCTTCAACATAAAAGTGTGATCTGTGTCACTTGCGGTGAAGTTTGATAAGTGCAACTATAACCAGTGCAAACTGTAGCTATTCTCAGCTACACTTTTGCTTTCTGCTCCGTACTTCCTTTGAATCTAATTTTCCCTTATCCGATACAATGGGCTAACCCCGTTCCACCACTCAAATAATAAAATAGTTAACAACCTACAGTTGACTTTTCGGGAACTTGGCTCGAGATTGCGCAAGTACTTCAGAGCGGTACTTACGTCTTGAATCAGAACTCTTCAAGCAAATAATTAAAGATTAATGACGACGGTAGTGTCGCAACGAATTCGTTAGAATAAGCACCGGCTTGAATTTGGCAAGCTTCGCTGTCAGGCAATATCTGAATCAATCTATGTAATAAATTGACAATTAAGTGGTAGTGCTGGTAATGTTTACGTAAAAGTAGCAATACAGAACCTCTAACATGTCTGAATAGATTTATATATTCCATTTTCCTTAGTTGTTGTCCTGAAAAGATATCTAAAAGTATTTCATAATGGGAATACTGATATAAAGTTTCATGGGCTTTGGCTTTAGAAAAGCATGTTGGCATTGACCTGTAAACATTTAGTGAATGAAAATATCCCCCACCATTTTATGAGCTAAATTTTTATCGGTTTGAATCGAATCTCATAGTTTATATCCCAGCTCTAAAATATACCATATTTCATAATGACGCTTTTGTCTCTCTATAGCCCCATACTAATCTCTACAACGTTATCTCAGCAGCCTGTTTTTAAGACAACTTGTGCGTTATCGTCCGTTAATTAGTTAACTTTGTAAATTACCAGCTTAATGTGACAAACACTTATACCTCATGTTACGCTCGATTTAGGTGTCTGCATAGTCGTATGTATACAATGTAACTATTCCTCAAGATCCTTATATTTGTTTCGAACCCACTTCTTGATCCCCCTCCCAGTCCCTCTCGGGTCGACCTTTGGAGGTGAGAACGCCGGCGAAAAGTTTTTGACTTTAAGCCTCTATGTTTTGAGTTCAAGTCCGGTATCCCCGTTAAGCGATCTATCAGACAACGTGTCCCTAAGATTAGCAGGCAAATACATTACCCGCTAAGTTATCATCGCAACTTAAACAAACCTTTGGTGATCAACTGATACTCGAAGTTTTAGGCCGAGCAAAACAATATTCAATAGCCATATTATACAGCGATATGTATGTCTATTGGTATAACAAAGGTCTGAGTTACACAGTATTCTGATGTTTATTTGCTTACTAATAGTTCATATGAACGTGTATATTAAAGGTAGTATCAGATCAATATCAAAGCTAATCTAAATACTTGAATTAAAAGAATAGAAGCCGAATAAGGTTTTTAAATCAAATCACTCAACTTGTTATCACTAATTGCAGGTTCCCAGCTTTCTTACCGAAGCAACGATATAATACTTATAGTTAGATCTGTACTTTTCTAAAAGGCTGGATCTAATTTATTAGACATATGCCAAATTTCTCTGAACGAAGGAAAGCCATTCCTACAATGTGTAGCCATGATAAGATGATACTGGATATTACGACGTTTCCAAGTAAATTTTGCCTGTGATAATAACATAACTCCGTCATGGCAGAGGTTCGAAGTTATCTATAGGCAAACCATGCTAAAATTGCTCTAGAACGTGACCAAAGCTGATATGATATGTGTGTTGTTAGCAACATTAATTAACAATGACAGACTATTGCTTAACTCTGGAAGGGACCCAGGCATCGCGATGATCCATCTATGTGTCTACCATAGGCCTGTAAGAAAATGCGCTTGAAGAGCGTTTCCTAGAAGAACCCGCATCAACTAAGTCTTGCATTGAAAGGGCATGGATACCGTGTTTGTTTGAACAATACTTCTCAATTAGATGAGTTGTCAATCATCATAATAAACGAGCTCCCTTTAAGTACTGTACATAATATATAACTCTATCATATTTTTTCCTAGTTTTGGCGTATCCGGCGTTACAGATTAGGAAAGAAATATTTCTTTAAACAAATATCTAATCCCTGATAGTTGAGCGGTATTATAGTAACTGCATTATGACAGCTTTTGAAAATTTTGGCATGAATAGAAAGCACCAACCTGAAAGTAGACTTGGCACTTCTTTAAAGGGGAAATTTATGTTTTACATGAGTGAATACTGCCGAGATGGGTTAAACGATTCTCTAAGTAAGGCAGACTACGTAAATACAAACTGCCTCAAACGAGCTAATCCCTGTGTTTTGTAGTAAAGCTGCGAACGCTTCTCTCAAGACATGCCAGTGGGCTTGAAGTATTGCCTCAGATATTTCTTAAATTATTGGTCAGATTAAACTACCGGATCGTCCATCTGTTCTGCTTTATTGTCTGCTCCTGCTTCTTTCCAATATGCGTCTCCTATGCTTTTCCTTACGTTCCGCTAGTCCTATTACTATGTCCCACCATCTAGGGGCCTCTCCCCATGTTGCTGGGTTCGCCATATGTTCCAACGTTTCCCTGATTGCTTTTATTCTAGCCCGTACAGGCTAAAACATCCTTCTGCCTCTTTTAGAGCCTCATAGCGTGGGACTGTCTGTTGTACGTTGTCTTCCTCCCCGATGTTATAAAAACGCGTATATCTATTTGGGCCTCTTTTTTATTTCCACCGTGTACATTTAAAATTGTCCAAAGCCGGCCAATATTGTATCCCACCGTGCGTTAGCTCTCTTTTCTGATCTGATATTAAGCTTTGGATCCAGCTTTCCTTGGATGTCCCCTGCGTATCATCGATCTTCAAACTTCCTGTCAGGTGTCAATAGTGCCCTTTATGGGCATGGTTGAATGTATACAATCATCCATGAGTAGCGAGCTCCTTTCGCTAACGAGATTCTCCCGCTGGAAGGTCCCGCGGCATCAAGCTGGCTAGAGCCGGGGGCGCTTCAACCGAAACCGCCTACTACAGCCGGCTGAACCCGATAGCCAGCATCCTTTGGGTCAACCTAAGTGGATTCCTCTCCTTTGCCGATTGCAATTCCTTGACCCCCATATGGGTTATGCGTGTAATGCTGTTGATTGCGCAAGCGAGGCTAGGAGCTTGCAGTTGGCCTTCGACGCTCCACCGATCTGCGACAAGATCCAAGTCAGACTGGGAGAGAGCCGCCGGGCTTTTGCCGAAACGTATATCATATCTGCAAGTTCGAGTAGTCCGATGTCGAAGACGACCCTAAGATACTTTGCTTTTCTCGTGATTTCTATCAGCTTGCTACCACAAGGCTCATTTTTTTGTCCACTTCCGACCTGTTAGGTATACAGCCTCCTTTTTAGGTGCCTATTGCAGCTGAATATTACACTATCAATTGACAAAGCTGCTAAAACCTGAGTGAACCACGTATACTTGTGAAATTAATTCTAAGGGATCTTGCGGTTCGAAGCATTAGATTCATACAACTAGTCATAATACACTAATTGTTAGAGACATAAAACGGAATATATAAAAAAAACAAACGATAGTCTAGAAAATAAAAAGGTTATAGCAAATAAAATTTAAATACCTAAGAATTCAGTTTTTCTAATCAAGCGTGTCCAATTTTGTTGAGTTCATCATTATATGAAAAATTAAGTTTACTTCCAGAAGGCTGAGGAAACAATAAAATTTTTAAGACCATTACCTTTGAGAACGCATATTCGTAAACATTGTCATATAATTTAGTGACTCTAGTTAGTTCCTAAACAATTAGCTATGACGTGGCTTGGAAGTAGATTTATCCCGAATAGCAGCGTACTCGCAAGGAAATTGTGACATGCATGGCCGCGGAAAGCCCATAATCTACTAGGACGAAACATTTTATTGCTGAAATCGTTGAAAATGATCACTATTTAATCAGCATAGAGAAAATAGCCTATTTTCTAAAGAAGTATGGGCTAGTAAAACGTTATATACATGTATCATATTATATACATATAAGCTAGTCGCATGCAGAATAAAGCGAACACTTCAAACACTGATAATGACGGTTCTAAGCTTCAGAAATTATTCAGATATTTATTACTCAACATATAACGCATTATTCATATACATGGGTATTCCATTGCGTAATTTACACCATTGAGGTGAATATATGCTTTAGAGTCTCCTTTGGCGTCAAAAGCGAGGTTGTGATGACAATTAGCTGAAAATAGAACGTAATATATTATATTTGGCATATTTATTAAAACTGATTGACCGGTAAACCAATTACAAACAGGACATTACCGCGCTCACCTATCGCATCATTCGGTGAGGCTGAAAAGCTTTCGACTTGGTCCCAAGGTACGCGTTTGGTAAGTTTGAGCCAAAAATGTCTCGAAATACTACGAATTGCGGAGTATTTTTGTTTCATATTAAGCGTAGTAATGGTACTTTTAGTAATGGTAACTGTGTTTAATATTAAAGCTTGATTGGGAAAGATGTTCTAAATTCTCTCAGAGTATAGGAATTGTCACGTGTATTTGGTGGTGCCATTATCTTGGTATACTACTTCATGTGTGATCTACTATTATGATGTTTTTATCGGAATTGCACAGCGCATCAACCTACGTGAAATTGAAAAGATACAATCGTGGTATGAGGACCAAATTGGATATTAGACTAATAACTTACCTAAACCAGTCTCCATCGTGCTATCGGCAAATGTAATGAATACAATACAGTAGGACTAACGTCAAGAAGCTTCGGCCCAAACAAAATTTTAAAAATAATTATTTTTGCTGTACCAACAAGTACATTTCAAAATACTTATCAGATACTGCAACAAGTTTTTGTAAAATCATAAATAATTGTATGTTGAAAAATCGTACTTTATGGTGAAAATGATACAAACCTGTTTACCAGTGTCTGCTATCAGCTGTTTGAGCATGGCCACCTCGGTGAAGGTCACACCGCCAAGAATTACTACCATCAAAACGTCAGCACGTTCCAGGTATCCGGCAGTCGTGCCGCCCACCGCAGCACCTATCGCACCCATGAGAAAGCCCAGACCACCCTGGATTCCTCCCAGTACTCCTCCGGACGACGAATGGGCTTCAATATCTGGGCAGTCGACACTAGCCTTAAAAGTCATGAAACCACAACATTTCTGTCATGATCATCGCCCAATATAAAAGATATTTCAAAGTCAGCGAATTGAAATTCATTACAATAGCAACTATAACTAGAGAAACAAACGCTCAAAACTGATTTTGAGCGTTAGATCAAACGGAGATACTTGCGAAACGTTTTTACAATGAAAAAACACACTTTGAGCGTTTCTACGAGTTCCACGAGCAGCGGTCTATACGTGGACGGATGTGCGAGATCTCCTCTGGTCAAAACGCGACAAAGACTTTTGAGTGATTTTCTCTGAGCTGCGACTCGTGCTCCAGCTTCCTCAACCTGAGCTATAGCGGCCTGAAGCTTGGCTTCGGTAATATTCAGAGAAGGAACTAAAATACACATAAAAAAGTAGCAGGAACGAACCGTAGTTGCTTTCTAGCAATCACTCAATACAAAATGTAAGTCGTTTCAATAACAAAACAAAAAAAAACGCTTCGGTTAAAATTTAAAAAACAGACAACTCATAAAGGCGATTAAATAAAATCGTAATTACAAATCAATAGCGGTATAATTGTTTTTTGGATCAGGTCAATATCTGTTTAGGCAAAGGTTCGACAATTTTTTGACATAATATCATTGGCATGATTGCCAGTCATGGTAAATTGGGTGAAGCCAATTTCCTAAAATTTAATTATTTGCTAAACTGCTTCGAGTACTAAACTTAATAACGTAAAAACAACAAAACGTTGTTTTAATAGTTACCAAGGTGTTTGGCTAGATCCGACCATTCGCTAGGGTCCCGTAGGGTGTCTTCTGTGATCGCGGCCAGCAAGCCTTGCTGAAAGCCTTCTTTACTACGCTGATCGACGTAGAGGTCTTCGCCGCAAAATGAATTGATGTACAGAAACATTGATACTAGATCTTCAAAATCTAGTTTTCTAAAAGGATAAATATGTCCATAGCCACGGATTATTCGGGGCAGCAAGGATAACTTGTGATACTTAACCTGTTCGTTGTATTTTAGCTTATACTTCCATTCAAATCTGTTAGAGGACCATCGCAATGGTGAAATTTTCGTAGAAACCTTTTAGCGTTTAACTCTAAATTAATAAACAAACGACTGGAAACTTATTGATGTTAAATTTGTGCAGTGTGTCATTCAATCATTAAAGGCAAATAAGCTTACGTTCCACCGCGACCTTCTGCTAACTGCACAAGCGCTTCCCCTGCGTCCAGTGCTCCGCAGAGTGAGTTCTCAGTGGCATTATGGGTAAACATCTTTTCGATAGAAAGCTTTTGACAACGACGTTGCATTACTGGACTGCTTAATGCTTCAGATAGTGCAGCTACAGCGACTAACGTCTGACCGTTCTCTAACATCTGATCCAGTGAGCTATCTCGAAACACCTGCATTTCATCAATGCCGGTATAGTTATTTAAATTATTAATACGTTACATATAGTAGCAAATAGTCAAACTGCTTAGCTTTTCGATCTTTTAAGCACAGGAGAGCTTGCGTAGTATAGCATTTACTTAGCTCTTAGGCAATTCTGCAAAGTAAGACTTGTCTATATAGTTTCTCTCTATATGACGGATTAATACCTAATTGGTAATATCTAAACATTTGGCAATCATGTGAGTGTACCTGGAGATTTTTGCGGACAAAATGAACTGGATCTTCGTCGGGTAGAAGCTTTCCTTGTAGCCCGCAGCACTCTGTTAGAGTGATAAACTCGTTTTTTACATACAAAGGGCTCTGAAAGTATTTTCCATATGATATGAACTTCAAAACAAATCTGTTAATCTTTTTAAAACATCTTTTTTTTTTATATTTTTTTCGTTTCATTTATATATTTATAACATACAAATTTACCAATCCTACTATGAACAATTGGCATTATATTAAGTAGCTTTCGGATTTTTAGTGCTATTAATCTTCCAAACGGGATCATGAGGCTCGATTTTTTAAATCCGATAACGAATGTATTTTTGTCTTGGTACATAATGGTAAGAGAAAACGAAACGAGAAAACCCTAAAACGAATTATGGAGTTATTGCGCAAGACATACGCGTAGCATTAAAAAATAGCCGCCTTGTTTATGGGAAGAAACTGTCTAAAAATAAACACTATAGATACTAATGTGTTAAGCATGATATAATTAATATGAGAATAATATAATTATAATAATATATTATAATACACATTAATTATTAATTAATATGAGAAGCAAGAAGCCATACTAATTTCCATTTGAGATCATGAATTTCTGCCAATTTAGCTTGGGAGAGGCAACTCAGAGTTCCTTTCGCCACGGTTGGTCCTGCGCTAGTTAGACCCCTGAAATTATTCAAAAGCAATTCGGTATGGTAAAATGTCTAGGCCAGATTTACTTTTGCATACATATTGAATTCAAAGCAGCATTGAAATCTTCAAATTTTAACGAAATCAGGTACTACTCTATGGAGTGCCGCTTATTTAGTAGTGCCAAATTTCTATACGCCATCTCTATAAACTTCGGTAGACTTTTTGATGTGCTCTTACTCTTTAGCGTGGCAAATCGGAATCATATCCACAGAAACATCAATTGAGTCGAAAGCAGGAAGCACTGCACGAATGATATCCAGGATGTTTTCATTTCCATAAGAAAGGGGTGCTACGAGGTCCAACGAACGGTCAAACAAGAGCACGCATGCCTGAAAGGTCCGTCATCACCAGTTTTTATACATTTTATCGTTCTAAGTTCATTTGCTGCCCCTACTCAGTATCCTAAAAGCCCATCGTATAAACCTGACTTTTTCTTCGATGGTTAAATAGCACTTAGCCCGTTTCAACATGAGCTCCGAATTGTTTATATCTGTGCAGTGCAGGGCTTAATAAATATGTTTTCTCTAATACGATAAATGGAAGTTCCTACTATAATGGAAAAAACTCGAATAGTAACTGTTTCTTTCTAGTCTTCGACTAAACTGTAGCATACCTTTTTTGCTTCATCAGGCAGTTGCTTTCGTCTATTGATAGTTCCTTCGAAATGTTCCAGTTCGTCCGCAATAGTATATCCCAATCTTCCTAAGGAGAAAAGCTCATCTCGAAGTTCAAGCTCGCCGATAAGTAGGCTTAAAGAAGAAATCATTGGCGCTAGAAGCGCTTTCTTTTCGGGAGGGAGTATCTGATGGGAGACGGATGCGTCTTCAGCTATTAGCGGCGGAAACAGGCCGCACAATGGAGAAAGAACTAGAAGATGCGGAAGTACACTAGACATGCCTATCGGTATGTATACCACCTTCGGTTCAGTCACAAAAGAAACAACGATGTAGTAGAGCAATGACTTTCCATGTATGAGGTTTATAACTTTCAACAAAGCATCAGGGTATTTTAACAACATATACTAGAGGTCTGCCTAGCACATAGACAGAAAACAGACCTCCGTTCCGAAAGAACGGTACCTTATCATGCAACAGACGATGCATCCTTCACATTACTTTTTTGAATTAGAACTTTATTAACCTGCATTGAGCATGAGACTTTGCTCCTGCTTCAACCGTTCAAATGAAAAGCGAATGGTTTAATTTGATGATAAGCTGCTTGTATAAGTCTTATTATACCGGCCATTTATCTATCTGCGAGTAATATATTTGCGTTTTTTAATAAATTAATATGCAAATTGATTGCTGCTTCTGAAGCTACCTTGCTGACAGTTTCGTCGCTACCCATCCAGTTGCGGAGCTGCCTTTGTAAGCAGATAACTTCTTGTGCTGCCGTTCGTTCGGATGTCGATGCTATGGGTGCGCCGGTAACCACTGTCACACTTTCAAAACACGACTTCTCAAGTATGGAACGAATTACTTGGAGAGACGGCGGCGTCTGCACGTTGCCGCTCAGGAGGAATAGAGCACGGGTGTCTGATGGACCGCTCGCCTGCGAAACAAAAAATTAAACTTGAAATTTAACTAACAGTTTCAAAAAGAAGGTGAAACTCGATTAACAGAAGTTAGTTTTTTGTCTTTAACAATCAACTTTACTCGAAAATATAGAAGCGTATTTCCAAGCTATTCTAATGGCACCTAATTGTAAGTGTTTCGAATGTTAATTGGCTTATGCATATGGCCTATTCATTAATTGTTTTTAAATGGAAAGAATCAGATATTGTTGAACAACCACCAGATGTTATGGTACTATCACACAGATTTTATTGGGAAAAAAAAATTAATCTCACCTGAGAGTGAGAAAAATCTTTTACGGCAGTCGCTCCGGCTTTTTGAAGTCTGCTAACTCCGCCAGCCCACCGAAGCGATTCACACGCACCAACATCCAGAAACACGACCGAATTGCGAGCTTCTTTCAGAGCAGTGTCCCACAAACCTGACACCGAACTAGTAACGTCGGCAAAACGTGTTTCCGACTTAGATGTTACCTACAAAATACCATTTTGTATTCCGATTATATTCGAAAGTGTACATTTATCCTTAACTGTGAAACACTTGTCAGTGTCTCGGGATAGGGCATTATTGACTCGAGAAAAAACTATTTCGTGAAAAGACGACAAATATAACAAATCGTTGGGAGCATGCTGAAAACCTGCAGCAAATGGATGTCACCCGTTGGTAAAATTCATTCAGCCAATATATTTAAAAATGAGGAAATCGCTATTTAAGACAGACTATAACAAGGTTTTCAAATAGGAAACAATCCCGTTTTTTTTGACAATACATAATACTCAAGGCGACACCAGCATGCAACTCTATTGCAGTTAAGATAAATCAACTCTGTTTATCAATTTTTATTGTGGCTGTAAAAGTCGCTCAAACAAGTACTAATTATTTAGAGTTTTAGTAGTAACTGACCTCAAATTTCATGATATACTATTACTACTATACAATATTTCTAAACTTCGTAAATAATACATACCATTCTTTTTTCTCTTGTCAAGCCAATGTACATACGAAATGTCTTCCACCTTTGCCAAAATCGTTACGTTATCACGAATCGTATTCTAAAAATTTCAAACTGAAATTGGAAAGTGAGCAATTTTAAAATTACATGAATATTTAATCGAACATCAGCATCTTTCAAAGTAGTCGCTCTCAGATGCTTGTAGTGTTTCGCTAGCTATTTTACGCCTAGAGCTCAAAGTTTATTTGTAAACAATAAAGCGGCCTGTTTTTTGCGCGTGTCTGGGACACTCAGTCTAAACTCTGTGACCTGTGTTGTAGTTGTCCACTTTATGAAACTAATCCAACATGTTCGAAATATGAGTTTGCTGTGTTTTTCTTACGGAGGGCAGAAGAGTTGTTACTGTTCCAATTGTACAGTGAAGGTGAATTGAAAACCTGCGAACTGTTGCTTTTTTGTGTCAGTACAACTATCATCTTGTTAAACAATTGTCACCTCTCGACTAGCAACCTGTCGTGTCTCCTGTGTTTTTTCATCACCGACTTTCTAGAAACTTTTCACGTACGGTTTTATCCGAAATTATGTAGAGTAGCTGACTAAGTGTGGCTCTAGATGGGCTACGGCTGTAGATATCTATCTTATAACGTAATCATCATTAAATAATTAACTTGTTTCCCCATTGCTTCAGTTAAGTCTGAAGGACATTTTTTGAAAGGGGTATTTGCACAAAGCTTAGATAATAGTTATTATAAACATATACCTGTTTTTTACTTGACGATCATTCGTGTCAGATGTCAGTGGATGAACCATTTTATTAAAACAATACATACTCTTTAAAATCTATTTTGTCAGATATTCGGGTGTAACGAATTATCATTGACGATTTTTATTATTTCGTCGGTTAGAAAGCCATTTTTGTTTGTTTAGTTCATTTTAAATATCTTTGACATTTTAAATGACTTAGCTCGACTATGAAAGCTATTTCTTTGGTTTTCCATTATCCTTTTTTACCACACGCGCACAGAGGATGGCCACACTGGTTAACCATCAACTTAAGTGATGGATTCCGAAACTTCGTAGTTTTACATCGTGGGCACGAAACGTCATCCATTTGCAACTTTGGTAAGACAGGATCCCTATATAAAAATTATCGTCAGATAAGGCAACGAGTAAGAACAAGTACTGGTGATGAGCACACTGATATGCGGGGGATCGTTACGGTGTACTATACGAAAAGCTACACACAGGACCGCTTAAGCTGAAGTTTGGTAATGATATATTGATTTCGACTTACGAGAATGAAACGCAAATAAGTTAATACCCTAATTTATATAGTAGACAATATGCTGCTACAAAATGCGTGACATAAGATTTCGAAGTGCTAAAATTGGACCTGTCATAAACTAATTTGTTTGCTCCCTGTACAGTTAATCTTTCTGCTTTAAGAATTATTACACTCCTTGTCTAAGCTGCTCTGTGCTATTTGTGCGGGTTAGTGGGTAGCAGTTCTCGGTGCAATAAAGATCCGAAAACTACATTATCCTACATTGCCTTCCTCATTACTTTCCCATTAAAAAATGTAGCTAGAGAGTGATATAGGAGGCGAAATATATTTTTGTAAAGCTGATCTCAGCGCTTTAGTGCTGGAAACTTGGAACTGAACCACAGACCACGCACCAAATCGCCGCATAAAACGCTTGACAACGAACTACAAGTTAAATCGCTCTGTTAAAAGCTTTTTTTTAGTTAAGAGTTTGCCACCGAACTGTTACAGCTTAAATGACTGTACATTGCTCAAACGGCAGAAAAAAAAGTCATTTTAGCACAAGACAGATATCGAAATGAAAAATTTATGGTTTCAAACAGTTTTCAGTATAATGATGAACAGGTAATTTCTTACTTTCAACACTCAGGTGATTTAATATGGCCTGAAGGGAGTATTCTGAGTCTTAAGACGATCAATGCAGATCGTGACTTGGTCTAATGTTTCAAACTAAATAAAAGAACCGACAATATGAACTCCGTGAATGTGGCAAACAGCGCGCTAAATTTTGTTGTATTATGAAAGTTTTAGGTTCCGTCTGCCTTGAAAATTTTGCCAGCCTTTAGGTTAAAAGCCTTTTGCCTTTGAATTATAGCGCAGATCTTGCTATAAAAAAGCACGGCTTGGGGATCAAACGGTTCAATAGAAAAGGTAGAGATTCGAAAATGACCCTAAATAGATCGTTCTATCAGATACCTTCTGCGCTTATTGAGGAATTCGTCTGTGCAATGTGTGTGCGTGTGTGTGTGTGCGTGTGTGTGTGTGTGTGTGTGTGTGTGTGTGTGTGTGTGTGTGTGTGTGTGTGTGTGTGTGTGTGTGTGTGTGTGTGTGTGTGTGTGTGTGTGTGTGTGTGTGTGTGTGTGTGTGTGTGTGTGTGTGTGTGTGTGTGTGTGTGTGTGTGTGTGTGTGTGTGTGTGTGTGTGTGTGTGTGTGTGTGTGTGTGTGTGTGTGTGTGTGTGTGTGTGTGTGTGTGTGTGTGTGTGTGTGTGTGTGTGTGTGTGTGTGTGTGTGTGTGTGTGTGTGTGTGTGTGTGTGTGTGTGTGTGTGTGTGTGTGTGTGTGTGTGTGTGTGTGTGTGTGTGTGTGTGTGTGTGTGTGTGTGTGTGTGTGTGTGTGTGTGTGTGTGTGTGTGTGTGTGTGTGTGTGTGTGTGTGTGTGTGTGTGTTGTGTGTGTGTGTG